AGTAATTTAAATTGGTATTCCTTTGAACTGTCGTTCCCAGGAAACGATAGCATTTGCAATTTCTTCAGGAGGAAGCCTGAGTTCTATTTTCTTATTTTATGGTACCTTTTCCATGTGTAACAAATAGCGAGGATGATGGTTTTTTTTTTCAAGTTGGTGTTCGGGTTCTTCTTGTTGTCCTATCCAAAGCATTAAGCAGCACATGGAGCAGCTACTGACTTTGGTCAAGCTGGGTGAAGCCAACTCTGAGTCACATGGAATCAAGGCATGTTCCTTAGAACCACACCTCTCAGGATGTTGCCCACCCTGTATCCTACCCACGGCTGAACAACTTCTCAAGATATAGTGTCAATGTTTTCCTTCCCCGGACTCATCAAGCCACGCTATTGATTGTGTACCGTCTCCAAATGCCATGTAGTACTAGTCTCCCTCTATTTGGCCTCACTTTGCATACAGTGTCCAGTTCTGGACAACACACTTTAGGAAGGATGCAGACAAACTGGAACACGTTCAGAAGGCATCAAGGATAATCAGGGGACTGGAAACCAAGCCTTATGAAAAAGGACTGAAATATTGGGTATGTTTAGCCTCAAGAAAAGAAGACTGAGGAGAGCTATGAGATCACTCTTCAGATTCCTGAAAGGTTGTCACACAGTGGAAGGGCATGATCTGTTCTCAGTCATTACAGAGTGCAGGACATGGAATAATGGGCTCAAGTTATAGGAATCCAGATTTCAGCTGAAGATCAGGAAAGACTTTTTAACTGTTAGAGCAGTACAACAATGGAAGTAATTATCTTGGGAGGTGGTGAGTGTTCCAATTTTGGAGGCATTTGAGAGAAAATTGGACAGTGATGTACTTTGATTTGGATTCCTGCACTGGCCCTTCCAACTCAGTTATTCTATGATTCCCCCTCTCAACTGTGGAAAAAAAACAACAACACAGGTGCAATTTTCTATTTAAATGTTTTTCCAGGATCCTGTAAACATCCTTGAAGCCTTAAAAAAAGGCCATTTTAAAGATAAATCAATAAACAGGAAGTGACCAGTTCCTCTCTTGCAGTCATGACTATGATCTGTACCCATCTCAAGGATTTAAAAGCGATTGGTATTCCCAGCTAGACTAGACCTACTGAATAAATGGAACTTACATAAATGTTGACTCAATATTCAACAGTTGTTTCAATGAGTCAACTTTAGTTGAGTTTACAGTTCAATTTTACTTTATGGAGTACCCCCTCTCCCCAGTATAGGTCAGTATTGTTATGATGTATCTATGCAGTTTGATGTATATATAATGTTTATGGTGAAATGAGAAAACTGGAGTTATAAAATCGGCATGAACCTGTTTGTTTTACAGAGCATCAAAGTGAGTTGGTTACCTCCACCGCCAGGCGCACAAAATGGATTTATCACCGGCTATAAAATCCGACACAGAAAGACAGCCAGGAGGGGTGAAATTGAAACACTGGAGCCAAACAACCTCTGGTACTTGTTCACAGGTCAGTGTTTACATGTCTGTGGGCCTGCAAAGCTGATGCTGGATGAAATGTTTGAGGAATACAATATACTTTCACTTCAAGTGAACATGTTTTCCCTTCGCGTTCAGGTGACATTTATGGGATTCTGCAGCATCAAACTTCATACATTTTTACTTTGTTTCCTCCTTAATGGCTTGATCAAATCTTGGTGCCTCTCTGTTTTTCTTGGCTTAATGAGATTGAAACACAATTCTCCATCCTTCCCAGCAGCTTTTTTTTATCCTAAATTAGTTTCCATGGATGCCAAATCAAGAAAATACATACAAATTGTCACTTTGCTACAATGCTGGGTTTTAAAATACTTACTATTTTACAAAACCAGCAGAAGTCTCTGGTTTCACGGAGCTCAGATACCTCTTAGTTCCTCCTGGTTTGTTTTCTTTCTTTTTCTTTCCATTGCCCTTATTCCTTCCACCACCCACTTAGGCTGCTAGTCTTTTACCCTCAAGAAGTCAAGACTAGGGCTGGGAGGCTAAGACAGCTTCCTTTTTTAGTATGAGGCTAAGCCATGAGGCCTTTGAGCTCAGCCTTTCTCCAGGTGAGTGAAATTCAGTTGTAGTTCTGCCAGGTGGAACTGCCAGAATAGAGAATTCTGGGAGTTGGGGGGTCCAACCCCTCCCCAACAGAATAGCACATCCCTAGCAAATATTTCTCATGTCTTAGTCTTATAGTTGGCCTTTCTTTCCCCTTGCTCACTCATACAAGAAGCTGTTGTTGTGTCATGCCCAACTCTTCGTGACCTCATGGACCAGAGCACGCCAGGCCCTCCTGTCTTCCACTGCCTCCTGAACTTGGGTCAAATTCATGTTGATAGCTTCGATGACACTGTCCAACCATCTCATCCTCTGTCGTCCCCTTCTCCTCTTGACTTCACAATTTCCCAACATGAGGGGCTTTTCCAGGGAGTCTTCTCTTCTCATCAGATGGCCAAAGTATTGGAGCCTCAGCTTCAGGATCTGTCCTTCCAGTGAGCACTCGGGGTTGATTTCCTTCAAAATGGATAGGTTTGTTCTCCTTGCAGCCCAGGGGACTCTCGAGAGTCTCCTCCAGCACCACAATTCAAAAGCATCAATTCTTCAGAGGCCAGTTTTATTTATGGTTCAGCTCTCACTTGAGTGGGGTATTAATTGCATACCTGGGAGGTAATGCAGTACAAATTAAGGCACTATGTGGAACACGTTCTCTTTTTTTTGGTAGAGCCTGGAGGTAATACATAACAAAACAACCTGGATCTAGTTCTTTTTTGCTGTCATGTCGGCCAACATCATTCCATTTCCCCATTAAATCATAGTAACCTGAGAGAGTCCCTACTCTGCCAGGAATAAGAAAGGCATGTTGCTTGTTCCATCTTCCCCAGTTGGCTTTTTAAAAAATGTTGTTAAATACAGGCTACCTCGGGAGCCATGCAACTTACGTGATAATTCTACAAGCTTCCCAGAAACACTCTAAGGTAACTTCTCTAGGGTGTTCTACAAACTTGTATGATTAGAGTGCTCTTCTGGAAAAGTGTTCTGCAGACTTATACCTCAGTGGGTTTTTCTCAAGAGCGCTTCAACTGTAATAGGTCTATAGAGTGTTCTCACTAGAAGATCCAGTGACACCTCCCACACTAGTGACTTGTCCATTGCTAGCTCCTGCTTTCCTATTTTACATAGAAGAAGTTACTTTGGCAGGTGATGCTCATGCCAAGATGAGGAGCGAGCTTCCCCTAGGAGAACTCTTCATTCCACATAACTGTGAACAAGACCAAAAGCATAAACATATACATGTACAGTGGCGCCTCGCAAGACGAATTTAATTCGTTCCGTGGTTAATGTTGTCTTGCAAAAAAAATTGTCTTGCGAAACACGTTTTCCCATAGGAATGCATTGGAATCTAATTAATGTGTTCCTATGGGCAAAAAAAGTCAGAACAAAGTCAAATTTGGCTTACAAAGGGGTTATTAAGTACTCTTTAAAGCCATACACATTGTGCAGATGATTAAAAAAATTTCAATTAAAAAACTTTTAACTTTTTAAACATCATAGAAAAATATTTAAAAATCAGCAGACATGAGAAAGGAACAAACAATGGAAAATATTTGTCTTGAGAAGCACGGCCATAGGAACACTTGTCTTGCGAGTCATCAACCCCATTGTCAAAACTACTTGTCTTGCGAGTTTTTTTGTCCTGCGAGGCATTTGTCTGCGAGGCACCACTGTATATCTGAGTAAGTAAGTCACACTGAGCCATAAGTCCAGTAGGACTTCAGCCCTAAATCCTTGTGGATTGCAATCTTATTCACACTTAGGTGGGTGAAAGTCCCACTGAGATTTCTGAGTAGACATGCATAAGCATGTCCTGATTCAAAACCCCTGCTGTTCCATCAACAAGGTTATTTCTATTACAGCCTAAAATTTTGAAATGCTTGCTTATAGGGATAACTCCTCCCTCTTCCCTATTATAATGCCAGAGATGATGATGATAACCATCACCACCACCATCTTAGAATTGCAGAGCTGGAGTTATAATGCCAGAGATGATGATGATAATCATCATCACCACCAACTTAGAATTGCAGAGCTGGAAGGGACACCATGATTCACTGAGTCCAACCCCTGTCAAGGAGGAACAGTGAGGAATCAAACTCCCAACCTCTGGCTCGGCAGCCAGATGCCTAAACCATTGAGCTATGCAACGGTTCCCCCTTGGCTTATGACCTTTTATAATATATATATAGAAGCTGAGCTCTAAAAATGTTTCCTTTATTCTTCTGTTTCTTTATTAGTCTCCTTTATAAAATTTATTACCTGTTTTTCTGTGCTACTTTGTGATGCATTGCAATTTCTTTGTTTAAAGTTATGTGGTGATACATCAGTTTAGAAACAGATAGCTAGATGGTGGAACATGGTATAAAACTGCTGCAAATAAATAAAACAGAAGTTTCCCCCCTTCTCTGCTGCTGTTTGTCAGCCCCCATCTAAAATTAATAGTTTGATAGATTTCAAGAAAGGCTGTAGAAATTCATATTTAAATAAGCCAAATGGAACCAAAACAAATACATATCTCATTGCTGTTGTTTGCTTGCATATTACAAAGTTTCCAGAGGAGCCGGAAATCATGCAGCTTTTTTAAAAGCTGATTTAAATATTGAAAGCAGCAAGACTTTTATATCTGCTTAAAAGCATCTGTGGGTTGAAGGCAGGTGTTTCTGCCCACTAATGAGGACAGCTGCAACCACCTCAAAGTAATTCAGAGTTACAACAGAGATTCAACGACTTTGAATCATTACTCTAGGTTTTATTGTAAGATCCACCAAGAGTGAAAATTTAAACGTGTTGTTTTTAATCCTGGACAGCTTTCTGCAGAGCACCATTACAATTAAAGGTGGCTGTTTATCTTTATGCTTCATGGTCAGTATTAAGATGTACAAAATGATAGTCATAAACTGTATTGTTGTCTAAGGGAACAAAGACTTGTGTAATAGATAGGAAGCAAACAGCATGATGTTTCTCTAATGGCATCTAGTATCTGTGAAGAACACATTAGCTTCTTCCAGGATACACACTGGCTTCAATTCATTGTACACATTTCTTTGAGGGACGCTTCATGCTGAAACTAGTGAGCTGTGGACTTGTTTTACAAAACTTGAATATCTGTGTTTAAAGTCCCAAGAACTTATCAGCTAGAGCAGTGGTTCCCAATTTTGGGTAATTCAGATATTCTTGGACTACGACATCCAGAAATCCCAGCCAGCCCAGCTAGTGGTGAAGGCTTCTGGGAGCTGTAGTCCAAGAACACCTTGGTTACCAAAGTCAGGGAACCATTTAGCTAGAACATGATTGGGTAACTCCCATTTCCTCTCTATATTGGGTTTAAATGCTAGAGATGTTGGCAACTGCAAACATTTTGGCGCCCTAGATTCTTTGCCCGTGAAATACAACAATGCCAATATTATATGATTCCGTTAGAAAGAAAGAAAGAAAGAAAGAAAGAAAGAAAGAAAGAAAGAAAGAAAGAGCATGCTTCCTTCTCCAAATATTCATTAAGTTAGTACTTGGCTAATCAGTGCTCCTGAACTAATCATGAAGCAGCCACATCTGTACCAATTATACCTGCAAAGGAACCCTTAAATGTTGGGATTTACTTCCATATGTATAATATAATAAGTCAAGTCAATTCTGACTTAAGGCAATCCTTTTCAGGTAGTCAGAAGTGGGCACCTTCTTTTGGGGGTTCCATGAAACTGTGTAGCTTGCTCAAGGCCATCCAGACTGGCTCTACTCACAGGAGGCACAGTGGGGAATCGAACTCCCAACTTCTGGATCCATAGCCACACATCTAAACTGTGTACAGTGGTGCCTCGCTTAACGACGTTAATTCATTCCAGCGAAATCGCTGTAGAGCGAAAACGTAAAGCAAAATAAAAAAGCCCATTGAAACGCATTAAAACCCGTTTAATGCGTTCCAATGGGCTGAAAACTCACCGTCCAGTGAAGATCCTCCATAGGGGCAGCCATTTTCGGTGCCTGTAGAGCAAGGAATCTGTCCCTAAGCACAGCGGGGAGCCATTTTGAGCACCCGGTGGCCATTTTGAAAACCTGACGATCAGCTGTTTTGATCGTCGTAATGTGAAGAATTAGTTCCCGAAGCAGGGAACCGATCGCAAAGCGAAAAAAAAACCATTTCAAACATCGTTTTGCAGTCACAATTGCGATCGCAGAAACATTGTTGTGAAGCAGATTCATTGTTATATGAGGTAATCGTTAAGCAGGGCAGAACTGTATAGGTGCATGCAAAATTGCCTGCCTCCGGTTTTGCACTCTCTGCTGCCATATTTGCCACTATTCCACCAAAAGACAGATTCTACTGGAAACCCACTCCTGCATGCAAAATTGCCTCCCTCCAGTTTTGCGCTCTCTGCTGCCGTATTTGCCACTATTCCACCAAAAGACAGATTCTACTGGAAACCCACTCCTTGTGTGTCCTGTGTAAAGCGAATAAGAGAGAGAGCCTCATGGCACAGTGGTTAAACTTCTGTACTACAGCTAAAGCTGTGCTCACCACCATCCTTGTGTGTCCTGTGTAAAGAGAATAAGACAGAGAGCCTCATGGCACAGTGGTTAAACTGCTGTACTGCAGCCACAACTGTGCTCACGACCTGGGGTTCAATCCCAGGTAGCTGGCTCAAGGTTGACTCAGCCTTCTATCCCTCTATCCCTTCTATCCCAGGTCAGTAAAATGAGTACCCAGCTCGCTGGGGGGGGGCAATGTGTAGCCTGCATAATTAACTTGTAAACCGCCCAGAGAGTGCTTGAAGCGCTATGGGGCGGTATATAAGCAGCACGCTTTGCTTTTGCTTTTGCTGTTGTGTCACCAGAATGTGGCAGGATGTTAGTCTTGTTAGTGAATTGTTAGTGGTGGGGAGCTGGTGTGGCCAGCACACCCTAGAAGTAAACCATTCCAACTTTAATCAAAGAACTCATGCTTTTTAGCTTTAAATATTGTCTTTCAGTGGTGTAAGCCACTTTGGGTTCTTTTTAAGGAGAAAGGAGGGAATAAATAAACAAACAAATAAAATGCAAGGCACACAAGCCTGTGTCCAGGTAATTCTAACACCTAAAGAATGAATAAACAAATTGCAGGTCTCGAGGTGTCTAGTAACAATTTTCTAATGGAAATTCAGGGTGGTGGCATACTGCTTATGGCTATGTCGCTCATTCCCTGTTTACCCTGGGAATAAATTTATTTATTTTATTAGATTTCTACCCCGCCCATCTAGACCAAAGGTCTACTCTGGGTAGCATAAAATTTATTCACTGAAGGAGGTCTTCCACAACTCACATTCTACACAGTACAGTGGACCCTCGACTTACAGACGGCTCGACTTACAGAGGTTTCGAGTTACAGACTTCTCTGGCTGCAAAATTTAGCTTCGACTTGCAGCCAGAGAATCGACTTACAGACCAGAAAAAAACCAAAATGGAATAAAAATAGAATAAAGACCACTGGTTATGGAATTAATCGGTTTTCAGTGCATTGTAGGTCAATGGAGATTCGACTCACAGACTTTTCGACTTGCAGCCACCATTCCAATATGGATTAATTCCTTAAGTAGAGGGTCCACTGTACTTCTTGAAGGCCTTTTGTGGTCTCTACCTTATAAATTGCTGAAGGCAGCAGGAAAAGGAGAAGCCCACACATGAGGTGGATTGATTCAATGAAAACAGGGAGCCCTGGCCTTTAGTTGGCAAGAGAGGAGCAGGATATTTTGGAGGTTGCTCATTCATGGGGTCACCATGGACCAGAAGTGACTTATTTATTTAACTTATATGCCACCCACACACCCCAAAGGTCTCTTGAGAGCTCATAACAACTTGACAACACATCATAGAACCTTGGGCAATGTTAATTGAGTTTTCTGTGTGTATTGATTTATATTTCCAATAGGTCTTGACAAAGGGAGCCAGTACAGTTTCCAGGTAGCCGCTATGACAGCCAACGGGACTGGGCCCCCCTCGGACTGGTATACTGCAGAGACTCCAGAAAGCGATCTTGATGGTAATTGTGGTTTTTTTAAAAAAACAATCATTGGAACTGCTTTTTGCTTGTTCTGAATGTAGCCTTGCCCTTCAGTTAAGTATTGCTGTGAAGGTCAGGAGCACACAGTATTCCAAACTCACTGAAATTGATATCTGGGTGTTTTTGAGCAGAAGGTTTTATTGACTCCATGCTGTTAAAAATCTCTCTTTCTGCGAGCAAGTGAAGCAGAAGTGAGAAAATAAAACAGTTCCATTCTTCTTCCCTTATTTTCACCGTCGTCGCCAGTATGTCTTTAATTTAATTTCTTCACCAGCTGTGGTTGACGTTATCTTTTGCCCAAAAAGATAAGGGAGATTGTTCAAGCCAGGTTTGCTTCTCTCTTACTGTTGAAGTAACGCCAACATTTTTCCATACTATGATCTCCCAGTGGTTATCAAAGCAGCTGGCTTGTTCTGTGATGGGCAAATGATCTATCTGCAAGGAAAATAATCTGCAGAAGTTATTCAGAGTCTGAGTCTTAGTATCTTTGCTAGCTCTGCTGTACTTCAGCTTCCATTACTGGGGTGCAGAACCACAGCCTGCTAAAAATACAGGAGCAGATGGATTTGTTGGGTATGACCGAACATCATCTATTCCACCTTTTTCTTTCTAACAGAATAACTCATGAGACCCTCACGGTGGCAAGAACTGCCATTATACAGTGTCTAGCCCCTGGAATCTGGTACAGCTGCCAACCTCTTTTTCTCTGCAACGCTCATGGCCAATGGGCTAACTCCAATTAAAGTAGTCCCATTGAATCAGTGGGGCTTACTCAAATGTCAGTCAGTATCATTCATTCAGTGTTTCTAACTCCATGGGACTATTGTTGGATTGAACCTTTTTGGAAGAGTCATCTATTCTAGGGCTATGTACTTAATCTTTGCTGCTCCACAGGCAAATTAACTTGGTTTGGGTTGGAGAAGTTTTTTTTGTTTGGTGCTCTGGTTGAAGAAGCTCAGTTGCCTTCTTCTCTCTCCTCTCTTGCCTTCTCTTTCATCCAAATACCCGCTTAGGTGGACACAAACAGGCAGATTTTTATTTCTTTCTACAGATATAAAAGCCTGGTTGAAGATGTGATGTTGTCAGTATTCAGGTCCTGCAAACAATCAGTTGCCTGATTAACAATGAATGCCTAAAGAATTCAGAAGCTGTTTCATACATTTGTTCTCCACCTCTTTCTATTTGCTCTTCTCATTTTGCAGAAGGAGGGGTGCAGGTGAGGATGCTCCTTGAAAAACCAGCCCCTTGAGTCACTAACTCCTCTCTGGAGCTAAGTGCAATTCAATAGCAGTTAGATTCACTTACCTAATCTGGCCAGATTAATGAGCCAGCCCCAGGCTTCTAGGATCTAATTGTTCCCCCAGTAAACCTCAAGTTGGGTTGAGCAAAATTTGCATTCATTTTCGGGTGTTTCTAGTTTTCTCAACTTAAGAACTTGAGACTCATAATATTTGAATGGAGGAGAAAGCAAAACAGAGATGTCCATTCCTAATGTTAAAATCCACCAGCCAGAACTTGGAGCAAAAGACATACATTGGGAGAGAAAAAAATTAACTCCAGAAAACTTTCTGGACTGCCAGGGCTGTGCAGTGCTCATATCCCACCATACAGAAATCTAGGTAAAGGTAAAGGTTCCCATCACATCCCACCATACAGAAATCTAGGTTAAGGTAAAGGTTCCCCTTGAAAATTTTTGTCCAGTCATGTTCGGCTCTAGGGGGGCGGTGCTCATCCCCGTATCCCAGCCATAGAGCCAGCGTTTTGTCCGAAGACAATCTTCCGTGGTCACATGGCCAGTGCGACTTAGACACAGAACGCTGTTACCTTCCCACCGAGGTGGTCCCTATTTGTCTACTTGCATTTGCATGCTTTCGAACCACTAGGTTGGCCGGAGCTGGGACAAGCGACAGGCGCTCACTCCGTCGCTTGGATTTGATCTTACGATTGCTGGTCTTCTGACCCTGCAGCACAGGCTTCTGCGGTTTAGCCGTCAGCGCCACCACGTCCCTACTCCTGCTTAATACCACCACCTCAAATTTTCAGGAAACATGAAAATTCCTTTACTGCTGCTATTCTTAAATAAAACCTTGTCCAGTAAGTATGTTATCCATTGGTCAAGCTAGAGCCGCCTCCTGCCCACCCTTGTTCTGAATAATTTGTTCCAGATTATTCTGAGAGAGAGGGGAATAAACCTGAAAAGGTGTGCTCAGTTCTAACCAGCTTTACCGTTCTTGCTTTCCTCTGTAGTCCTTCCTCTCTGAATGCCTTCTTGGCATTTGCTACAAAAAATGAACACTAGTTTGAAACGCCTTCAACTCCCAAAGGGTACCCCTTTTAATTAGTGTGTTTTGCTTAAACGGTTAGAAATTCAAACAGTGTTGCTGATCTTTGGTTCCCTAGAAAGTCAGAATAGTATTTCTGAGAGCTGGGAAGGCTTTAATATTTATTCAGAGCATCAACTATTCTGGTTTGGTGGGGGGAGCAGGGGCATGTGTGTATATGTGTCAGGAGAAAAGCAATCTAGATGCTCAGTTTCTATGTAAAGAACAGATGTGAAAAGTTTAACAAATAATTTAGAGATCCTCATTGATTCCCTACATTCTGAAGTAAATGCTGCCTTGACCATGTGAATTACGAGGAGGAAGTTTAACTTCTGTTGGACATTAAACATACTCCCTCCGTTCTTTTTTAAGTTCTTTCCTTGAATTTTATTTTGTTCCCAGTCCAGCTTTTCTTGAATACTGGCTCAATTATGGGGATTTCTTCAATTAATACTAAGACTGTTGCCTGTACCATTTGTTTTTCTGTTCATTTGTGTCCATCTAACATCTTAGCAATGTGCATTTGCTTATTGATGACTGCAACCTGATGCATTTATATGCACGATGTGATTGTTTTCACCAATATATATTTTGTGTAGTGTTTTTGTAGGAAACACACACAAAAATCTGTGCATGCTAGCAGTGTATATCTTCACTAATTTTATTCTCTCAGGTTAAAAAAATCCAGTTTTTCTACCAGATGAAATTCCAGAAATTTCTGTGAATTTTTTTTTTGCATTTTTGAGACTTTTTTTGGCAAACATGTCAGGAAGTGAGCATTGCTCCCCAGGCCCCGAAATGAAGACGCGAGACAACCATTGTTGGATTCAAATACGGGCCACACTTTTATTAAACCAACTTATTTTGATTAACCAATACCAAACTTGAAGGGGCCTGCGGTAGTGCGGAGAAATAACGCCAAATCCTTCCTTATAAGTCAATGGGCGAATCCCAGACCCCAGGTTCCTGCTATCCCACGACAGGAGGAACCTATAGGGCCTTCACTAACCCCCCGGACCTCCAGCCATCGCATTAGATAACCTTTTGGTCCGTAAGGGGTCAAGCGTCTCAGTCACCTTCGGCCTTGTGACCGCACGATCCTCAGTGCCGTCAGGACTGGAGCGCTGTTTATTTTATGCAAATTACCAAAGGGAGACACCGTGACAATCAGTTATTCCCGCACTACCTGCCAACACATGAGGACTAGCCTCGGCTATGTCCCATGTGCCCACCAGAAATGTTATGCGAGGCACCACTGTATATATTTTGTATAGTGTTTTAGTAGGAAACACACACAAAAATCTGTGCATGCTAGCAGTGTATATCTTCACTAATTTTATTCTCTCAGGTTAAAAAATCCAGTTTTTCTACCAGATGAAATTCCAGAAATTTCTGTGAATTTATTTTGCATTTTGAGACTTTTTTTGGCAAACATGTCAGGAAGTGAGCGTTGTATAAAAATGTATTTTGTGCACAGGACGCAAGGCTTGGAGCACAAAATACAAGTTTTCCTCTCTCTCCAAATACCTCATGCACGTGCTGATGATAAACAACGCAGGTCATATTCTTGTGTGAAACAACTTTTTGCATACAAATTATAGCAAATCATATTAAGACTGCTTCTTGGCAACAATTATCAGTGAGGACATGGTATATAGGAAAATCTGATGGAGGGAATCAAAGCTGTGCAGACTGTGGTAGAATTCTTGGAAATAAAAGATGAAACAATGGAGAATTTCCAATACATTGGTTTCACTTGGGAAATGGCCAGGAGGCAGGGCTACTCTTGTGTGGTGAAACATAACGTCTTCTAGACTCACAGACACACCTGAAGCTTAACTGTGAATCAGTTGATCCCAAATCCAAAATTCTACTTCCTAAAATTTCCATTAAGTAAATATGAATCAATATTTGAAGTGAAAATGAGTCATACGTATATATAAATAAATAAATTGGGAATTGTTCATGCCTGCTGAAAGATTCTGGGACTTGTAGTCTCAGAAGATTAGCTATTTCAACCTATGACTAGGAATGGAGAAAATGACAATTCTAGTTGAAAGATGCTGAGGAGACTGATTGATTGGCCTTCCCCCCCCCAAAAAAAGATGGCCCTGTGTGTTGATATTTATGACTTTCTCTACAGTATGTAGCAGTATTTCTTCTCTCCCATTGTCTTATTCTCTTTCATTGCAGCTGCCTTTCTGTGGTATCTCTTCATATGAATGTTTTGTGTCCTTCTCTTATTTCTACTCTTTCTGATGGCTTCCCTGCTGTTTCCTTATTTGTTTGTTTGTGCTTTTATTTATTTAGTGAACTTATATACCGCTGACTTAGTGTGAGCACTACTCAGACAGGCTGACAACATCATAATGAAACAATAGCCCCAACCACCCAACAAACTACTCTCTATAGATTCTTCTCCACTACAGTCTTTCCACCTTTAAAAAGAGGTGTCTATGACAAAAAAAATTCACAAGAGCCTAGATGGGGGTCCAAAAGCAGAAAGCAGCATTGCATGAAAAATTCAGCTTTGTGACCATTTTGATTTTCATGTCTTCAAAAGCAAGTTGCTAGCTTTCATAATGACAGTAACACTCAAAAATGCCATTGGAAATCTCGGAAGCCAGAGGGGCTACTGAATATCACGCTCCATGATCAAAAACGGGGATTCAGTGCTCTGAGTATTTTCTTCTCCCCATGAAGACTAGAGAAGACCAGAAATACTGCTGTATAAATTAATCAGAATAAGAGAAACTATGTGAATTTAATTGAATTGCATATTTTATGCAGATTGGAAGGGTTGGTCCATGGCCCATTCAAGAGAGGAAAATCATCTTAAAGTAGAAGGTTGAGTTGCTGCCACAGAGTACTAGTAGAAGATATAAAATTCAGTGTTTCTTAATAGGATATCACTGGTATCGAATGTGAACTGTGTTTTTGTTTTTAGCATGGAGTACACTCATTCCTATCTAAATCCTATAAAGCTATGTTCAAAGTTCTTCCAACCATTAATTTACTCATTCTGTATTTTCCAGATTCTGTCAAAATCTATCTTATCAACTGTCCATGCTTTGTTTTCATCAAATTGTGTGTTCTCTGCTTCTTCTTCCCTTCTGACTGTACATCTATGGAAATGGGATAGCAAAGGTTACTGTCTGTTGTACAATGCCTTTTATATAGTTGTTCATCTGTGGAGATTCAAAAACTGTATTTTAAAAATCAAAATATATGGAATATGTTGATGTTCCTCACTTAAGTCCTCTGTTTGGAACGATCCTGTCTCTCAGTGGGTGGTTCATTTGTAAAAATAGGTCTGATTTTCTTCAACAATTTAAAATAGCTTGGTTAATTTTAACGATAAGAAACATTACTGGATTATAAAAGTATGTAATAAGATCTGGCAGTAATTTCTAACTAGAGTGTGTGTGCTGGCATCCCCCCCCCCCACCGTGCGTGCTTTAAAGAGAAAATAATTCAGTTCTACATTGATGTTGAGATGGTGGAGTGTGTTAAAAAAGGTTAACATGGTTCTGTGTGTATTAAGACTTCTAATGTTCTTCAGCAAAGGTGTTCAAATGGTATCAGCGTTTCTTTGGAAGACTTGAAAGGTGCTCACCAAAATTCATTGCAAAGCCCATAAAATAATGAGGGCAGGAGCAGAGCAACCGATATGAAGCACAAGGGCAAAATTATTCGTCCCATCATTTTTTTAATTGCCTTTTTTTAAGTCCCCAAAGGTTTATAATGGGAATACTTCACAATCAAAGGAGGCTCTTTTGTCAGGGTTTGCATCAGCATTTTGTACTGCCGTTATTTTTACCCCATCATTTGGCTATAATATGACAGGCCTCTTCGCTGAGGAAAAGATTGTAACTCGTTCCTTCCGCTCTCAAAGGGACAAGCTACTTTATTGCTCTTCTGAGGAGACTTGTGATAGGGTAGCTCCCATGCAAACGTCTAACAAAAGACTTACTTTGACCTTTAAAGGAGAATTTTAAAAACACATATCATGAAACAGGATGGCCATTATACCAACTTACATGTAATAAAATCTATGACATTGCTCTGTAAATAACATGCACTCCATTTATTAACCCACCCCCACCCTTCCTGAACAGATATATGTTTCAAGGTCTAATCAGAGCAGGTTTTTAATATGAACCATCTTGTGTTAAGGAAAAATAAAATTAAAAATAGGCCTACACGTTATAATGAATGCTACCGACTTACATTGTTGCCATAAAATATTACTAGCAATATTTTAGAAGCGGCTTGTCCTGGGTCCGTCTATTGGATGTTCCATGCTTGATTGTGTTTACATATTAATGAAAATATTTTTTACATGGCTATTTTAAGGCTGGAGGGGATAGTTTCATGCATTTTGCTTTCTGCAAACATTGTTTTCCTCTTAATTCACTCTTCCAGCAGCCTATCCTTTATTCATAAAGCATAATTCTCACTCTTTCAAGATATATGTCCTTTTCCCCCCTTTTAACCAGAGCAGCTGAAGAAAGCGGGAGCTGAAATATTTTGCTTAAATGCTTCTGTCTCTTAGTCATTCTTACAAGTATATAATGGGTAAAATAAGGGGTAATTTGGAGGCAATCACATTTGGTGAGTGGCGTAGTAGAAAATCCTGTGCTTTTCAGTGGATGGTTCCAAAGCTAAGTTCTGTAACAATCTGCATGTTATTTCTGCATGTAACGAGGAGTGCCGTGTGACTTTTTTCCTTAAGCAGCAGTGATATGAAATATGCTCTTGTTAACAATGAAATACAACTCATGTCAACGCTAACAGCTTTTTCCTTTGACTCCTAGAATCTCAGGTTCCTGACCAGCCAAGCTCTCTTCACGTCAGGCCTTTGTCAACCAGCATCGTCATGAGCTGGACGCCACCACTGAACCCAAACATCGTGGTGCGTGGATACATCATTGGTTATGGTGTGGGCAGCCCTTATGCTGAGACGGTCCGAGTGGACAGCAAACAACGATACTATTCCATTGAACATCTGGGTAGGTGGTACTTGCTCTGTCCGAATTGCAGAGGTGGAGAAGGGCAGCCACAAGAGCCAATTCGTTGCCCCACACAAGAAATGCAGAGTCTTAACTTTTAAAAATAATCACGAAAAGGAATGACAACAATGCAGCTTTAAGGCTCCTTGGCTGTACAATGAAGCATATACAGCAATATGAGACTTGCACACAGGGAGAGCACAGATCCTTGTCTTGCTTGGCAGTTCTGTTTGTGGGTATTCAAACAAAGTGTGACAGAAAAAAAATGCACCCTGATGTTGCCACGTACACACCTTAATCAATTCTGGCCTTGCACAAGTCACTCTTTGCAGTGGATTCTAATTCTAAAGGCCCCTGACCAAGGAAGGACTCTAATCCCATTGAGCAGTTCCACTAGTGGAATGGAGGATGTATATTACTGATGCCCCTTTCCCTCAACAGTCTGTTGTCCCCATTCTCCCAGTGGTAAAAGTGAAGGATAGTGCAACCATGTTTTGCACAAATAAGGAAAGCAAGCCTGCAGTGGACAGAAGTGGTCGAAGCATATATATGTGGCAAAAGTTTTGGGATAGTTGTAGATATTTTAGGTTCTAAAAATCTTTTAAACTCATTGTTTCCACCATTTGTTCTTCTTTTCTTTCATAAACCATCATTCTTCCATTCTCCTGAGATTTCCCCCCCCCCTCCTAAATATGGGCAGGTTAAGGGATAATTTGAGGATGACCCCACCTGGAAATGAGATGGTCAGAAATCCTCTGGGGTCCAGTGGTAACACAAGTGGATCCTTTGAGTTTGTTTGTTCTTTCAGGCTACGCATTGCCCCTCACCCCGCGAGCTGGGCACTCATTTGACTGACCTCAAAAAGGATGGAAGGCTGAGTTAACCTTGAGCCGGCTACCTGAACCCATCAGGATTGAACTCAGGCCTTTAGCAGAGGCCTGACTGCAGTACTGCAGTTTAACCCTTGTGCCACAGGGTTCTAGTATTAACACCAAAAGAAGAGACAAATCCAGATAATTCAAAAGCTAAGCACTAATGATATGCATTCTATTCCTGCATGAAATAAGGCTTGTCACTTGAATGTATTCTCGAAGGCTTTCACGGCAGGCATCCGATGGTTGTTGTAGGTTTTTCGGGCTGTTTGGCCATGTTCTGAGGGTTTTTCTTCCTAATGTTTTGCCAGTCGCTGTGGCCGGCATCTTCAGAGGACAGGAGTCAGGTCAGAGCACAGACAGAGTAACTTTCAAATTAGCTCAGTTTGTTATATGAAACCTGTGAGGTAGATGTTGTTTAGATTTCTGATTCCTTGCAGATGATTCTCAAAGGATATCACACTGCTGACACAATGACATGCTTTCAGCTTCTAAAAGCATGTTATCTATTTTGAACACTTGGACACAGATTCTCATAGGGAATGATCATCATCAGTACCTTAGAACTGAAGAGTTGGAAAGGACCTATGAATCATCAAGTCCGTGTCAAGGAGGCACAGTGGGGAATTGAACTTCCAACCTCTGGCTCCTCAGTCAGATACCCAAACCACTGTTGAGCTATTGACTGGACTTCACGTCCTATCAGACCTCTTTCAGCTTCTTCCACCTTACTCTAGCAAGTAGTCTCTCTTGGCATATCTTGGGTAACTACACCACTCTTAGATGGAATTCCTCTAATAAAGTTTGCTTCTTTCAGTACTCGTAGGCTCCTGAAGCAGCATTGACACATGTCTTGAGCTTCCTCTGCTACCCTGAGTGTTGGGGATTCTTCCACATAGGAGGAGAGTAGACTTGGGGACTGTATTTGGGGGTTGGGGGTGGCACGGGGTGAGGTGAATTCCGCAAGCAACATCTACCCCTTTCCACCAAGAGATACATTCAGAGCAGACATTGGCTCAAGAAATGCTCTTGCTTGTGCAAAAAAAAAAGAGCAAACAAACATAAGAGAACAGATGCACATTTTCATACATAGCTCAGTGGTTTAGGTCTTAAGCTTAGGTTTAGGTTGGAGATTCAATTCCCCACTGTGACAGGGGCTGGACTCAATGATCCATAGGTTCCTTTCCAGCTCTGCAGTTCTAAGATGGTGGTGGTGGTGGTGGTGATGATGATGACCGTGTTTCCCCGAAAATAAGACAGGGTCTTACATTAATTTTTGCTCCAAAAAAACGCATTAGGGCTTATTTTCAGTGGATGTTTTAATTTTTTTTTCATGTACAACAATCTACATTGGTTCAAATACAGTCATGTCATCTTCTGGTTGCTGCACAAGAGTGGAGGTCGGAGTGTAACTTAACTGGGCTTATTTTTGGGGTAGGGCTTATATGACGAGCATCCTGAAAAATCCTACTAAGGCTTATTTTCAGGTTAGGTCTTATTTTGGGGGAAACAGGGTATTTTATTATTAAAAATGTGTTACCTCTCATTGAGCTCACCCACAACTTCAAAGTCTTGCTGAAGGGTTCAGCGCTCCATTCCTACACCATCTTCCCAACCGCAGTTCCTGCATTCAACTGCCTTAATACAGAATTCATATTACACAAGAGACACTGGGAAACACTGCAAGGATACATTCTGTTCTGATTCTCTCCACGCCTTGCTTCTTGTATTTCAATGAGATTCCGTTTCTGTTTTAGATTAGAAGGATCACTTGACTGGAAAAAAAAATGAGGTGCAATCTAGGAAAGGCACAATGAAGCTTGTGATTTGCTTGAGGGGGACACAAGACTCTTTTTTGATTGTGTTGCAACAGATTAAAAGGGCCACTGTCCTCCCCCACCAGAAATCATTATGACTTTTGCTATTCTGTTCACATCTGGCACATCAGACGCCATGCGTTTGGGTTTGTGGTTATATTTAGATCAAAACAGTAGTAAAGGTGAAGCATGTTGGGTTTTTTTTAATCCTCCAGATTGAAGGGAACAGTCTGGAGCAAGTGGCACACACCTCTGCTTTCCAGTAAATAGCTTTCATTCTTGCTCATTAATTTCCCTGGCATCTGTAAGCAGCAGGGACACATTTGCTTAATCAAGTTGCTTTGATACACAGGAGACAGTGTGGCATATAGCTGGTCTAATGATCAGCTTGTCGAGTTGATGATCAAGTCCAAAACATCATCAGCTTGTTAACATTCCTTGACTGTTAAGTTTGTGGTTGATCAGAAGGGCGCCTTTGTTGTGTACCAAACTGATAATGAGCATCATTCTCTGTGGATGCAAAATCTAACAATTTACTTCAGAGCACGTTCCCCACTCGGCTGCCAGTTTGTGAACATAATGGCAACCAAACCCTCCTAGTTTGTGTGTGCCGAAACAGTGGCAGAGAGTGTTCCATCATCTCATCGCATACTTTTTCTAATACAGTGGTGCCTCGCTAGACAATGATAATCCGCTCCGGTGAAATCGCTATTTAGCAAAATCATCGTCTAGCAAAAAGCATTTCCCCATTGGAATGCATTGAAACCTGTTTAATGTGTTCCAATGGGGAAGAATCGTTGTTGTCTAGCGAAGATCGGCCATAGGAAATCCGCTTTGCGAACTGCCGATCAGCTGGTTAAATAGCTGTCTTGCGAAGCTTATGTCCCGAAAACACCCGTTTTGCGAGTGCGGAGGGAGCTGTCAAAATCGTCGTCTAGCGAAAATCGGTTTGCGAAGCAGGGACCAAACATTGTCCAGCGAAATTCCCCCATAGGAATCACTGTTTTGCGAACCGCTATAGCGATTGCAAAAAGTCAATGTCTAGTGAAAAAACGGTCATGCGGAGTAACTGTCTAGCGAGGCACCACTGTAGTTCCTCTTGAAGCTATATGGAGTAATGTTTAACATTGTAGGACAGAAGGAGAAGTGTGCTTGCTACTTCGACAGATATAGAGATGGAACTTTTAGAGAATGATTTCTTTTGATTGTTTTATGTTCTTGTTCATCTCTATATAATTTCCATATATCCTTCTGGTGTAGGCTCATTGTCTTGCAAACATGACGTCTGGTAGTGAGAAAATGAAAAGGATACCTTGATACCTGTCTATCTGTCTGTTCCAACAAAGCATGTGTTTGAAATCAACAAGAACATCTGCACTTATACTGCATCACTCTTACTTCAGAATAACTTTCAGGAGAAGAACATCAGAAAAGCTGGCATTTGTTCCACCCCATAGAATCCTGGGGAGCAATTGTTTGTTATTGTTTCATGTCTTTTTGGGTCATTTCTGGCTTATGGAAGAGGAGGAATTAGTCATTAAGAACTCTGCCCTGGCTTTATAAATCCAATTCTCTAGTTTCCTTTACTGAGTCAAACCATCGCATTGTTCATTATTTTCCATGCCATTATTATAATTTCCAGTGATAATGATTGTCTTCTCATCATAGCATTTTAGTCCTTTTTGCTTCTATAAACAATTTAGGTTTAAGTCAATCTACCACCTACTTATTTATCTTTCAGAGAGATGCTAAGAATTTGCTCTCCTGTTTATGATTGGAAGGGTACTGTAAATATCTGCAGCTCTAAATATTCTTTTTAACCAAGTTTAATAGCATAGATACTCCCTGGAGGGGGCATGATTTTTTTTCCTGTGAAATGTCCACAACACTGTTCTTACAGTCTGACCACAGGAAAGACATTCTTGAGTCTTATAACTCCTGGTCCTGATGAGTCACAAAGAAGCACATTACATTGTGTTCCAGCATCTGTACTGCTTCTCTGCAGCCTTCAAGGTACAATTCACAGAACAGGCATTGACCGATGATTTCCTTAAACAGTTCAGGATTGGCCATCCCTTCCCTTTTGCCCCATCATAATCTAAACCAAATCCATTATGAATACACAGTGGAAGTGAAGAACAGATTTAAGGAACTCGATTTGGTGCACAGAGTGCCTGAAGAACTATGGATGGAGGCTCGTAACATTGTACAGGAGGCAGCAACAAAAACCATCCCAAAGAAAAGGAAATGTAAGAAAGCAAAGTGGCTGTCCAACGAGGGCTTACAAATAGCACAGAAGAGAAGGGAAATA